TTCCATGCAGGCTCGTCGAGGCAATCTGGCCCATATACTGCCTCACAGGGCTAGGTGATGCACAATGGCGAGCTGATGTGAAGCTCAGCCTTTTCATTCTCCAAAATGGTTGTACCACATAGACGCATGAGTGAAGGCTTATAGGGAAGGGGCAACGTTCGGTCCCAAATTTGACCCCGGCCTAATGCGTGTGTGAAGTCGTTCCACCTGTCACTACGCTACGCACTTCCACCCTAATGTATACGTGCAGGGCTTTGTTCAGTCACTTATTTGTGTATTTAGAGGTGGGATAAGTTCAACACCAACTGGCGCAGGTTCCACAATCATGGTCCAGTGACCAGTTTTGGATGAGCCACGTAGAAACCAAGCGCGCATTCCGGTGTCCTGGCGCTAAATCCTGGTGACCAAAAACACAGGTCACCACACTGGTTGGTCCCGAAATTCTGAGTAGAAGTCGAGTGCATACCTCATCTCTAGAAGGGATTAGTTACAAAGTAGTGCACCGCCTTACCCACTATCTGTTACTTTCGTTGTTTTTTTTTCTCCAAACATTTTGTACCTGATTTTTCAACATAAATTTCACATAATGTTGTATAATAGTATATTTAGAATTCAACTGGGCATCGAGTGATGGCGTCTACCTTCGGCTAAATGCCTCAATTTTTGGTGTTCCATCGAACATTGCCAGCGTTCAGTCACGCGGTCATTTATAGGACAATGAAAACAAAAGTGATAAATCGCAGTTTTCTCACGGGCCCACACGAGGGACAAGTGAGTGTTGTGCTACCTTAAGGGTGTCAAGCATGATGGAAAATATATCACCAGGCTGAGCCAAGGAGATGATTCGAATTAGCGACGATCGCGTTCAACTGGAGCAACGATTCCGAGAACTTCCTTACGGTAGACCATACATCACAACGCCATTTCTCTTGGAAGATTTTCTTGGTATATCAGAATTCGTCAATATTTCGGTTAATCACAAATCATTCAGGTTCGATTCAGATTCATACAGTACCCTAACATAAACCAGACAGTACCAGTCGGATAATACGACGGGACCAAAATCTTTGGCCACGACGCCCACGCATTTTAAAAATTTACTCGAAAGAGATTGCAGATCAAGTAAACGAGTAACTGAAGTAAAGCAGGTTATCAAACGGAAAAACCAGATCATGCGATTGCGGGCTGGTTTACCGGCACGGACTCGTTCCAACTATTCCAAATGCAACCCGGGCTACGCTAACTGAACGACAAAAGACCCGTGAGTGAACGGGGGTGGAGTGAAGCAGTCAGTTAGAGAGCTCCGTACGAGTTTTTTAGCGGATTAGATCGATCAGTCGACGACCCAAAGTCGCTGATCAGTTTGTCGTCGACGATCGCGGTCAGACTGGCCCATATCTGCTACCGAGAAATGTTGCGCTGCGGACTCGTCGTCTTGTCAGGTGACCTAGTTATGCACTTTTCATCTACCGAAATCTTTCTTAAGTTCTTCACGCTTCCCTACCTTACGCCACCAATACATAGATTCAAATGCCGTAGGATCTCTCCCAAGTAGCGGTCTTACGGTATGAAGCTCTTTGTGAGATTTTCGGAACATCGTGCTCCTTGGCTGACTCATTTGGGCGATTTTATGGGCTTCTTCTCTAACAAATTGTTATTCCACACATTTTTTTCTCTTCCCGGTCACATTATCCGTTAACAAATCCTATAGCACTAGTTGTAGAGTAATTTCATTGCTCTTCAGAAGCGGAGCGCTGCGTCAGAGAGATGGCTCACCAATTTTTGATTTAAACGGACCTCTTTATCCGCAAATTGTCAGGAGAAATCCACTGATAACAATTTTTTGGTCGCTTTAGTTGACAATTAATTGACAATTCTGCTCAATTATTTATATAATTTTGGATTATAATTCTACAATTGTGAAAAATTGATTGAATAGTTTTGGTTGACAAGTCACTTGAGTGTAAGTGGATCTATCACAGTTTTACTGATAGCTATATTCAACTGCATTTTTCAGCAATTGTCCTCAGTAACTGCACTATTGTACAACGTCCTAAGCGGCAAACGTTCAAGTATGATGAAGCCCTACTGGTACAGGCTAATCCGCATCCGAATACGAAAGTGAAGCAGGGATATTTGGCACGATACGCACCACAGGACTGGCCGAAATGGTAAGCTGATCAGTTATTTCTGTTCACAAAAAGATTAGGTTCTTTGTAAAGTATGTGTGATTTTTTTTCATTTCCATATCCCTCCTTTGCCTACTCGTTGATTTGTTTATACATTCTTTGAAACCAGTCGTAATTTTATTGAAGTCAACACTTGGCAGCATATATACCCTCTGTTTCTAGCGGCCAAAAAAAGTCTGCACTACGGACTTTACAACACAAGTGACGTCAATCTCCAAGAAAAACTGATGACTAGTACTTCATAGTGATAGCTGATAGTCAGCTGGTAGCTGGATATAGTGACAATTGCTAGAATATAATTGCAACTAGTTATTAATTCCACTGGCAGAAAACTATCACATTTTCAGTAGGCCGTCGTCACTTGTGTTGTGGCTTCTGTAGTTCAGACTTCCGTGGGTTTTGCGCATCGAGTTCCTTTTCCAACTCTCTATCAATTTAGAAGAAATCTTTAGCCCCTATAGGGTGCTTGGATTTCAATTTCAATGTTTTTCTCTTTATTTCCTTCCTTGGTTTTTTCCTGATTTTTTGTCAGAAATTGAGCAACAGTAGAGGAATAAAGGATAGGGGTAATTATAAATGCATACTCTAAATTTGAAAATAGTCAAGCCTAAATACCCCTGGCCGATGACAGAAGTTGCGAATCAAGCGACTCGCTAGCGCCCGCGCTCGCGTCTCTTCCAGCGAATTACTCAACTGAATAGCCGCAACGCGACCGCGGACGCTAAGGAAACGCTATTACCGAATCGCTTGATTCACAAAGTCTGTCATCGGCCTAACCGTGTCATGAAGCAACTGGATGCACTTGTTGCGCTGAATGACCGTGATGATTTACTGTTGGAATATGTCCTTCACGTTTCATCCCATTTCTGTGTTCAAGAAAATCGAATAGTTAACCTAATGAAAAGAGCCCATTCAGTGAAATTATGAGTACCGTACAACATCGAGGAGGAATATTATTTCATTCCCTTTTTGCTATAAACAACACTAGGCTTTCCCTTCAGACAACTAACTATAGGAGAACAATGGTAACCTTACTATAACTCTAACAAGTAAGTACACGGCTCTAATGTACAAAGCCGCAATCAGCCTCGCAATAGTACTGATAACTACGCTGAACTGAAATGACGTGCCACCTATTTTTTTCAATTGGAATTGCGACCCACAAGTAGAATTTCAAAATTTTCCTTGTCAGATATCCTCTCACATCGACGGTAATTAGAACATTTTCATGTCACTGTACACATTTTGCGTTGTATAGCCCTGAACGTCGCTAAATGGCCCTAAAAAAGATGCTGCCTCCTTGGGAAACGTAGCCTGGACTTGAACCTGGATCATTCTTGTTTTTTCATATAGCCCTATTCATTGCGCAGTCCAAGCCCCATGTTTCTTCTTTCGTGATCATTGCAATAATTTGTTACCTGTGATTATCGGCGGTGGCCGTTTGGGGAACCGAGTCCGCTTGCCTCCATCGCCGCTGAACTATGAGGCCCAAGCTTAAGGGAGCTACGGTTATTTTATCGGTCAAAGCACCAACGATTGAAAGCCCATCAGAGAAACTTGACGCTGAATTGTAAATTGTACCGACCTCCTGATTTGTCTTCTATCATATCTGATCGACATGAGCCCTATCGCTCCTGACTTACCTTTTTCTCATTTTTTGTGCGTAAATCAAATATTTTAGAGTTCAAAAGTACAATATTTTAAAGAATTTTCCTTTATATAAAGGATAATTCTCACGACGAGGGTAAGTTTTTAAGATGATGCAAATTGGATGGATATCTGTACTTATCCCTTACGGACACGAACGACGTAACGCATCTCTGCTTGAATATCGCAAGAATCAAAGGAGCTCGTTAGGAACGTGAACTCAAACTAGCAGGGTTACAGTGAAGATTTTGCTGTGAATTTTTATCACAGTTATGTACATTATGTCTTTCGAAACCGCTTTCGCATAGTGCCATCAAGTGTATGCCAACATGGTCACTGATGACCTAGTGATATTGTTCAATGAATTTTAATAATTGAATAAAGATAGAGACAAAGATAAGATAAAGATTTGAGAAAGTGTTGCTGGCAGAGTCATCTCTTCGTCTGAAGTCTCATATATTATTGCAACAGTGATAGCTTACAAAATAAATAGCGGGGTACGAATTACTAGATCCGACGCGACGACAAGCCTACCGCGCCCGTAATCCTACCAGCATTAGCTCCCTACGTTCCTCAAGAGTGTGAGCCTGATGAGCTGCAGGCAGAGAGCGAAAAAGTACCATTCTAGATGATGAACCAAATAACACGCAAACGCACCGTTTACGCTACAGAGTACGCCATGCCTTGACCTCACGCATTTTAACCAAATGATGCATTGCGCGCATCCCATTTTCACGATTACTTAGGTAGAGCAGCTATCTTTGTGAGTCAGGCAGATTGATGCGCAATTGACAACTCTCGAATTCCCTAGTGAAACTGGGGATTGGAGACGTCATGGGCAGAAAGAAACCTCTCTTTCATCGAAAAAACTCCGCCCTGAAATGGGCGTGGCCAGGCGTCGTACTATCTCTCACCTCTCAACGGTGTCGCTGTCGCTATCATCTTTATCGTAAACTAACACAATGCCCAAGATTAACGCTAAACGAGAAGAAGACGATCTTTTTAGGAATTTCCTTCGCATTTTTTATGATTTATGATTACCCTTATGCAAATTTTTTGAATGTGTGCAACCCCTGGAACTATTTTTCATTATAAAGCAGAAATGTTATTTATTGATCGAATGTCTCTCTTCATATGGTTCATTCCGTACGGTTTTTTCTGAATTCAATAGCTACTTTGGGAGTAAGTAGGGCGTTGCTGTGGTAGTATGTATGCTGGACCAGGAGGCACTGAAAAGCACCTATTGTTAACAGTGCAAATTAATGGGTACTGAGAAACTTACTCCAGTACGGAAGAACGAAAGGTGGTCTATTGAGTGGGGGAAATGGTCCGCTGAATGAATCGAGGAATGGTGCATAGTCAGCACCGCCAGCAACGTTGGCAGGACCAGGACTGAATTGAATGGTGCTATAAGTGCCTACAAGGAGGAAATTGATCGAAAATTAACGTACTTGTTAAATGTGGGAGGAAGATATATAACAGGTCGTGGTGCAGGAGCGGGCGGAGCTTGCGCAGGTGGATTTGGATAGGTTGGGGCCTGCGCAGGTGGAGAATAGGACGGGTACGCAGCAACGGCTGCAAGCAATCCAAGTGCCACAATAAGCATTCTGAAATAGAAAATCTCGTGGAGACCCAATGTTGGGGATAAATGAATTGTGAGAAAAAGAAATCGAATCAAAAATTTCCGTCCTTTCGTTTTATAGGAGCTGCTGTATAATTTTCTTCCTTCGCCACTCCCCTACCATAACATTAAATATTCATCTAAACATTTTTCACCAATTGAAAATGTCAAATCAAGGAAGACAGCAATTCAAGTCCATCAAGGTTGTTATTAAGCCAAACGGATTGAATGCTGCATTTTAATGATATGTATTGATTACCTTCATTCGTACCTCACTACCCAAGCACCGTAGTGAATCTGCTACCGTAAACCTTTACTGTGATGACAAATCTGAGTATCTCCTTTCGAGTTTTGAGTAACCGTTACATTTTTATCCTTAGAATAGTCTTTACGTCTCACAACCTGAATCGTATTTACGATTACGATTCATCGCATTTTCGTGAACCTCGAAAACTCAAAAAAGATGATTTTATTTCTTTCCTCTTTGTCATGTGCACAGTTTCTATCGTGACGTTGACATTTAGCTGTTATAATATATTTCCTAAAAAATGTCACGTGAGCAATTTGTTTTGACTGCTAGTTCGCCCCAAGGAATTCTCATTTAGATGAAACAAGGGTCTATAAATATGATGAAAACCTAAGGATGCTCCTGGGTGTAAGACAGGAGGCTTGAATTATCGCCGCTAGTATCTCGCTCACAACGTTTTCCGCGCGAAATACCATAACCAATCAAGTTCGCATCCGCCCATGCCCGAGTCCTGCTGCTGAAAATCGGGCTGTTCAATGTCGACAATTTCTCCACACGTGGACATATTTGGCTTGGTGGAAGGAACAGGGTAGGGTTTTGTATTTTCTGGGGGTGCGCAGGGGAGAGGAGGAAGGGAGGGCCGAAGATGGATTAGTGGGGAAGTTTCAAAATGTAGCGCGCCACATACATTTGTTGCTTTACAATTTTATCAGTCGCTTCAGCGGCAATTTTGAATTAGTATGAGGGTGGCTCTGGCTTGAGGGTTTTCTTTTCACCTGGACTACTTTACACTGTACTAGTTCTAGTTGAACAACCAACCCGATGGGGTCATACTATCCGGTCAAGGGAGAGGTCTTATCACCGCTACCATTTCCTAGAACCATGTGCACTCTGATGAGATTACACCATGCAGAGCTCTCTTTGATACTCTAATGCCCTCCTTTCTCCTTCATCTTTTTTTCCTTTGAAGTCATGAAATTTCTCCAGTACATCCGAATTCCGGAACAAAAGGGGAAAATCAGCATCAGTGAAAAAATTGGACGTCCTCCCCAAAATGAACGGCATTAAATGTATGCATTGCCGTTATCTAATGGCCTGGCACAAAGCGCTCCAGTAAGCCAGCCAGCAAAGAAATGTGCTCGACTCAGATCTTTCTGGGTCACTTGATTTACCAGTGTTTTGAGCCAATAACGATCGCTGTTATTCTCCGAATAGAGACTTTGATAATCGCAAACTTACTCATCAAAACTTTTCTAGCTTTCATGAGAGTGAGCAGGAATGGTGTAATGGCACGTGGAGCAGCTTGCCATGTGCGCGCTGCGGGGATCAAGTCCAGGATCGCACGCCTTCACGCTTTCAGGCCAACGAAGTACTTCTTCTTCGTGGATGGTTGACTGGTACGACTTTTCAAAAGGCTAAAACATTATACAGACCGTTGGCTCTTGCACTGGGCCAAATTCAAGGTGCCATTGCAATTTTGAATGGAAGTAGAATGCGTGGCGTATATCAAAAGAGAGTGCATCAACGTGTTTTATTCTCCTTGTGAAGATGCAACGCACCATGAAACGCTTCTGACATCTGTTGAGTATCGTTCACAGTCTACGAAGTCGAAGAATTGGCGATTTGTATTAGATACACATCGTCAGTTTATTTATTTATTTTATCTGCGTTAGTGAACGGCCAGACCATGACAAGTTGCTTATCCCCTACGGTATTTCAAAAATCGGCTGATTGCCTCCGTGATCTCTTCGAGTTCTTTTTTCTATTATAGTTGATGAATTGCGGGGAAATTCACGATTTTGCGTCCAGTCATGAAAATCAACAAAAGTCATTTTTGTGGTTATTCTCTGAATTCTAATGTTCTTTCTTTCATCTGTACCTCACCATGTTAACAATCAGGTATTGTTCGTGTCTTTGTTGAAATTCTAAAAAAGGTTATTGGAGTATCAATATCGGTCGGAATCAAATCCTGTCCTGCGTCTGATAACATTCTCAGTGATCTCTTCTTTTTTAAAACACACACTGTACAATACCGCCCAACTAATTTTGGTTCATCGACGGAATGCGACGCAGCAGTCCGTCGCAACCGTCGCCTCGCCATAACTTCAAGAACAAATGCGGACTAGGTCATTCGAAAGTTATTACCACCTGGATAGCTCTGCTCACGAGAATCCAATGAATCTGGAGGACATGAGTCCTCTGAATTTAACGCTTCATTTTTCATGAAATTACTCAATTACCTGAGCCTGACTCATTAGCGAGGCGTCGCTCGCTTTTAATTATTACCAGAGGGAAACATATAAATTAGTAGTATTAGCTAGTAATAAAGTTATTATACTACTTCTTATGTAAAGTGAAAAGGCCGACTGTTGTGTTCTTCAGATAGCGTGCTCGTCATTTTGACTACGAAGTCACAAGTGGGGTCAGCGTTTGTTGAAATGTCATTTTTACACGGGAAAAGCTTCTTTGGAACCAAAAGTATCAGTAGAAACTAATAGCGACAACTGAGCCTTGTCATTACCCAGTTCCTTTCTCTTACAGAGGGCTCACCCTAACTTGACGAGAAGTTTTTGAAGTTTCCTACCTAGACCGGCTGTCAATTTTCGAGGCCTTATAATCAGAGCGATCACATTTTTTTCATGGAAAGGAAAACAGCTACAAAAAAGTATACGCCTGAAATCCTCGGGAAAAATGCTTTACACCTGATGTGAATGTTCTAGTCACAAAGTTTTCATGATTTTTCAAGTTTTTCATCGCCGCATCTCTCTGCACGTTAAGCATTCTACCTAATTAGGCGTCCGCCGAGCGCTGACCCACTGGATGATTTCGGGTTCAAAATGGGGGACGAGCACCATGAAGAACACAACAGTCTCTTTTTCACCTTAACATAGGGGAAAAAAATAATATAATACTTTATACTGCTAATACTACTACTTTATATATCTCGTTCCCTCTGGTTATAATAAGCGAGCGCGCTCGCTAACTGAGGTCAGCTCAGGTAATTGATAACATTTCATGAAAATGAAGCGTTAAATTCAGAGGAACCAATATCCTCAGACCATATGGATTCTTCGTTGAGCAGAGCTATCTAGTGGTATAACTTTCGAATGACCTAGTCCATTTTGTCAATGAGTTATTGCGGCGAGGCGACCGTTTGCGCGGACTTGCTGCGTCGCATTCAGTCGATTGAACAAAAAAATTAGTAAGCGGTATCGTAGTAGCATCTCTTTTGTTCGATTCTCCAATTCATCCCATTCTCCGTAGAGTAGGTTAGAAGAAGTCGTACGCACTCTGGTTAAACTGATCACATCTTTGCCTTTGAGCCAGGTGCTAATCAGAGGACCGTGGATTCCATGGAATTTTTCGATGTGTTACAAAGAACATCTTGCGTTGCCTACTATAACATGCCTGTAGTTGCAGAGAGTTGGCTTCAGCCGTGACAGTGAGAGGAGCGAAAAAAGACATTTTGCCTATGTCGGACTTCGGCACCCTTTTTCTTCAGAGGTTGCCGGTTCGTGACGGGAGTTCTTTAGAAGGTATTCCTAAGTGCTCCCTCTATAAGTAAACGCCAGGCCGTTTTCTGGGACTTGCCTTACCAGCCGAGAAAAAAATGGGACCTTGTGCTTATTTTTTAGTCGATTCAAAGTGGCTGCCACAGCATTTTGTTTTTACCACTCTGATTTGCCTTTATGTATTCACGCATCTATTTCAGGACAAGGGTGTGGACGCAGCTGGCAGATGCAACGCTTCCCCATGTGGCCCAGTTTCAAGCTTCGCGTCACAAAACTCGGGTGCTGCGCGTCTGCAATAAGGATGTGCCGTGCCGGCGGTCATTACATATACGGCAAGTGGTACGATACCAGTACAGGAAACTCTGGGTTAGGCGCGGGTTTGGCTGCGGAAGGGGCGACGCCGCTTCTGTTAATGTTTGCATGTACCTCTGGGAAATGTGTAATCAGTCAGACGGACTGTTTCATGAAAACTGTTTCGCCAGCAAGTCGAATAGAACGAATTAAGTGGCAGCTCCAAATTGAGCTGTTAAGCGGTATGTCTTTCTGGAGCCTTCAACGGCGACTACAGGGGTGGCCAAAAAACGAGACACTTGACTCCAACCATTCAGACAGCATTAACTCACACTATTGCAGAATCAAAATGACTGCGCCAACTCATTATTGGAGAGCCACCTCTAGTCCATTCTTAAACCTTATACGACAGCTCTACACGACGACATTCAGAGATTTTCCCTCGGAAACATAGTTTCGCGATACAACTCAACGGGGTCGTAGAGGTACCACTAAACCATTCACGCACGTCCCTGAAACGACGGGTCAAAGTTGTTTTGCAGGTCACAGCCTTCAGTGTCTCGAGGAAAAGCAATTGATCGCTAATCCATTGAAGAAATCGTGAGCGTAGCTTCAGCCGGCGATATACGGTAAGCCCGTTGAGCTCGATGGGTGGGCGGTAGTTGGACGTCATATTCTGGAGACGGCTGGGACAGCCGAATGGAGGGGCTGCTTCTGCGCCTTTACGGGGGGGGAGGGGGGGGAACACCGTACTGGAGTTCTACGCGTAGAAGTCGCCACTAACATCGTGCGCTTTTTGCGACGAAAAGTCCGATGGGAAAAGTATCGCTTTTTTGACCACATCTGTATATTGACTGACGCTGAAGACAGCGAGTGCAATGCTAACAGAGGCTTGCTTTCGCTTATCGGAAGGAGATTTCAGGAATCTTTGACCT